GCGTGGGCTCAGCTCGGGCGTTTGCGACCAGCTGATGATGATCTGCGTGCGCTGTCACACCTCCCCTCGAAGTGCTCGGTCGGACCAGATGGCATACCACCATACGGGCCTTCGTATTTGGAGACTGTAGGACTGTAGTAGTGAAACCATGGTTACACATTTTTAATGTATGTATTGAAAGTGCTACGTTTCCTGATCAATGGAAAGTCACTAGAGTTGTGCAAGTACCGAAAGGTAGAGGGGGATCGACGCCTAGTGATAACAGACCCGTGGCAGTCTTAAGCACTCCAGCGAAAGTGTTCGAGACGGCCATTCAAAACTGCCTGTACCCACAGATTAGTGCACAATTGTCCGACGCGCAGCACGGCTTCCGCCCTGGGCGGGGGACAACTGGGAAAGTTACTGGAGCTGATGACGCATTTAGTATCCGCGGTTGATGCTGGCCTGCAAGTGAACGTAGCCTACTTCGATTTCAGAAAGGCTTCCGATGCGGTTGACAACGATTTTCTACTTTATAAGTTGGCTTGTGTGGGTTGCACAAGCTGTGGGGCGCGCACCGCACTGATGCAGCAGGCGCCGTTTGCGTGCGCGCTGCGTGTGATCAACACCATATCGGAGCGAACTGATTTGTTTTCATGTTCGCTGAATGAGCTCAGTAGAGTGGCATTGTATCGTTGGCTACACTGTCGAATTAGGGTGCTCATCCTGTAATGACTGTGTATGGAGTATGTGTATAAAACAAATTTAAAAAAATACATATTAATATTGGATTTTTATATATAAGTTTATTTAAAGATATATGGAAAATCCGAAATTTAAAAAAAAATATCAACAGTCATAGTTTGAACTGATCAGTTGAACTGACTGTGTGTGTCGTCAATTATATTACATTGAAAATACATATTCGTTTCGCAAAATTAAAAAAATTAGGGAGGTATGGATATTAAGTCTTGACATACACACAGTACATAAGCGAGTTAGATCAAATTTCTAATCCCAACATTATAAGCTGACTAACGATCCGCCCGGCTTAGCACGACTGTTTTCTAGATCTGGACAACCCGGGTCCAATTGTGAGTGTGAGTGTTCATCAAAATCGGTCCAGCCGTTCTAAAGTGACGGTCTTTCATACAGGTGGCAGGGATTTACCACTTGCTTAGCCGAAAACCATATATACCATATTCTACATCCATATACTTATACTATATTCAACAAAGCTTTATCTGCTTGGATGAAAATATTTCGAAATCATGAAGTTAAGGCAAGATCTTGATAATACCGCGTAGCGATGATGTAAAAGAAACGACTAAGTACCTCCTACTAAATAATATTATTATGTACTTAGAAGCTCTAAGACCCCATACTTTCCCGTAAGGATAGTAAGACGATATAGAGAAATGAAATAGGAGATACGAGATAGGAAATAGTATCTTCCTGATAACAAATCAAAATAATAAAAATTGCGGTTGCCAAACCACTTGCTAAGAGAGGGACTATGGCTAATATCTCCCTACGTTCAGCAATGGACTTTTGATAGGCTATAATTAATTAATGATGTTTAACATAATGATTTCTTATATTTACGCGAACATTGCACATGATTAAAACTACTTTTACGGATTTTGTCGCGTTTATTTTTATTTTTTACTTTTTATTTTTTTAATTCCCGACGTTTCGGGCGCTTTCCAGCACCCATGGTCACGGGGGACTGAGATGACTGACGTCCCGATGTCATTGTTAAACCCGGAGTACCTTCAGCAGGTGCAAGTAAAAGTAAGCAGGTGGTAGTACCCAGCCTCCTTCTTTAGAGAAGGAGGCTGGGTACTACCACCTGCTTGGGATCCTATAATCAATAAAATTAAAACTAAACCCAAGAATACCACTGCAAGACCTCAGGACATAGTCAGTTCATTTTGCATAGATCGGACCATAAACAATAATTAAAAAAGCTGAAGGTACTCCGGGTTTAACAATGACATCGGGACGTCAGTCATCTCAGTCCCCCGTGACCATGGGTGCTGGAAAGCGCCCGAAACGTCGGGAATTAAAAAAATAAAAAGTAAAAAATAAAAATAAACGGGACAAAATCCGTAAAAGTAGTTTTAATCATGTTAATGATGTTTAATTAATGATTAATTCAGTTCTGCAAGACCCGTCGCAGAAGAACATAAAAATTCTTCGATCACAATCTATTCTAATAATCGGCTGGTAGACGGAAAATGGAGCTGCAGTCTTCAACAAATTTGACAGCATACAGGCAACTGAACAGACACATCCCCAAATACATGCGGCGAGACTTACGCAACTTTAATACTGCTCGTATTGAAGAAGTGATCGAGCGGAACCAGGGCTCCAGTCTTCGCCAGAGATCTGACTGCCAGAAAGAACCAACTGTCAAATCTAAAGACTGCGTGTGGCAGCATCGTTTCCGGGACAACTGAGATTTTGAGAGGTTCCATGGGCAGCCGTACACATTATCGTTGGAGCCACACGCAAGTGTGAGTAACGATCCAAGAGCGCGTCTTATCCGACACCATTCCGAACTCCGACACACTTTGCCTGGCGTATGTGGACTATGAGAAAGCCTTTGATTCCGTCGAAATTAGAGCAGTGCTACAGTCTCTTCAGCGGTGCCAAGTTGACAGTCGGTATATCGAAGTGCTGAAGTGTTTGTACAGTAGGACTAACTATCCAATTGCAGAGAGGTATAAGACAAGGTGACGTTATATCCCCGAAACTCTTAAGGCTACAGTCTTTTAAAATTGACTCACATCGAATCATTAGCGCCACTTTGATTTCTTTTTTTACAGCAAATTATTGTTTCAGAGTAAAATATTTTGATAACACATAAATACCCAGATTATAAGTAATGGCTAAATTTTTTTTTTGGTTCATCTATGTGGTCTATGTTAGATAAATCAAACGGTAAATAGAGCTCTCTCGCACCCAACGCAATTTCGAGCTTTGTTCGTGTACCATTATAAGGCAATCGATAATAAAAAGGCGAAATCTATTCAGCGCGTTAATAGCTAAACATCTTCATCTCCAAAATGCGCTGTTTCTTTTTTTCTAAATATCTTTCATTGTCTTAAATAAGATGTCTCAATTTCGTTAAATTTCGCTGTTTTCGCCTCATAAAAAACTATTTGTTTCATAGCAATAGCTGAAAATATTTATGCTATAATTATTTTTTTCTCAAGGGCAGGTGTTTAATTAGACAAATATTAAAAAATAATAATTTAAACCACTTTATTTCAAAATTAATAATTATTTCGATCGACCTATAAAATATTGACTTTATAAACAATAATTGCGGGCAATATTCCTTAGTAGCCGCTGAGCGGCTGTAGCGTTCAGACGTCTTGTCTGTGCCAAATTTTTGCACTTCCTCTCGCTCTAACATTCCTCTTTCTCTCTCTTTCCCTAATCTTGGTTGCGCATTGTTACGAATTGAAAGTTGCTCTACTTTATTATTTTTTGCATATAATTCTTTAAGGGTTTATAAATCATTTTGTATTTGTTTTATAACTTTTAATTTCGATATGGACCATAAACGTAAAAAATATGCTTGTACCAGAAAACGAAAATTGAAATCAAACGTTGAAGCAATGAACAGAAATAGAATTGAAAGGTAAGTTTTTTTGTGTTTCATAGTAAAATAGTTAACAACGTGCATATGTGTGAGCACTTGGTTAAATATTAGGTATATAATTAGGTAGGTACTTTTAAGAATAGTTTATAAATGAGTTGCATATTTGTACCCAGGTCCGCTGCTGGTTCTCGCCAACCATTGTCAGATGTTAGCACCATTGAAATTGACGAACACCGTTTATCAGGACATGACGAAAGTAGACTTTTACGAACGACTTTAACAAATATAGTGTCTGTAACAAAGCCTGACAGTCAAGATATGACGAATAAAAAGGAAAGACGGAAACGAAAGTTTGAGGAGGCTTTTCCCTTTCGCCGAATTTCAGTAAGAAAACGTCAGGAGCTTATAAATGTTAGTCAAAACCACCAGCTACAAATTGAAAATTATACAGAAATGACCAAGGATGCCGAACTTTTTTGCCTAGACGGACGAAGAATCGTATCGATCAGATATTTTTTAGAAATTTTAGGGAAGATTGCTGATCATAATGCTAAATCTTTTGGATACAGATATACAAATCTGAAATGTATCGGTGAGCGACGAAAAGGTTTTGTATCAAAATTACGTTTTAAGTGTGAACTCTGTAACTCAGAGTTCGACATATGCACTGAAGATCCATCTAACACTTGTGATGTAAATCACGGTGTTGTTGCAGGTACTATTAGTATTGGCTGTGGGTTAAGCAATTTGAATGAATTATCAGGTAATACCGATATACCTGGTATGTCAAAAAATTTATACGCCCAAACAATCAAAAAAGTTTATGAATGGTTCAATATAACGGCAGTGGACGAAATGACTAAGGCTGGCGTCGAGGAGGCTGAACATGCAAAAAAAATTGGACATGTAGACAGTGAAGGCACACCAATGATTGACGTGATAGCTGACGGATGTTGGTCAAAAAGATCATTCCGTAATAATTATTCAGCATCATCGGGAGCAGCAGCAATAATCGGTGCATATACTGGTAAAATACTGTACCTTGGCGTGAAGAATAAATACTGCATTGTATGCGCAAAAGCTGAAAACAAAAAAACTGAACCAGCAAACCACATATGCTACAAGAACTTTTCTGGCAGTTCTTCCAGTATGGAGTCAACAACACTCGTTGAAGGGTTTAAATCCTCACTTGAAACTCATGGATTAATTTATGCTAGATTAATATCAGATGGCGATTCAAGTACTTATAAAAAAAATATTAGATAGCAATCCGTATAAAAACTGCAAGGTTCAGAAGATCGAGTGTAGAAACCATCTTCTAAGAAATCTGTGTAACAAGTTGAGAGCACTTACTAAGGATACACATATACCTATTCAATCAAGGAAACTTTTAACGGACTTCAAAATTATGAAATTACGCAGATATACGGTGCGGGCTATTAAGCTACGGAAACGCGAAGAAGTATCTGACAATCAGAAAATGATCAAACTTCGATCAGATATTTTGAATGCATTATACCATTCTTTTGGTAGTCACTTTAACTGCGATGATGCTATATGCCCCGCGACTGACAAAACTGATCGTAATACGGCACTTGACTTAGCGAACACAGTTTTGTGGAGAAAAATGAGTCAAATTGTCTCATTCTTAGCTTCAAATGCTAAAAGTCTCGTTTTTGACGTAGATAGCAATCCCGCTGAAACATTCAATTCGGTGATAGCTAAATATGTGGGAGGCAAACGAATCAATTACACACAAAGAAATTCATACCAAGAAAGGTGTGTGGCTGCAGCAATTTCTTTTAACACGAAAAGACCAATATATACAATCTATAAGCGCATATTTGGCAAACCCACTGGTAAATATACGAATTCATATGAGACACAAAAACTGAAAAGAAAAGTGTACAAAAGATCTTTTCGAAAAAGATTTCGTAGAAACATGGATGATCCAGATTATGGACAAAAAGCACGAAGACCAGATATGACTGAAGAAGATTTTCAGATGTCAAAAAGTGAATTTCTTAAGCAAATGGAACTTTCAGACCAACAAAGAGACGATCTACAGATACATACGATAGATCAAAGTTCTAGTCAAGAATGGTTAGAAAACAGAAAAAATCGATTAACCGCGTCTATATTTGGTAAGATATGTAAACGGAAAGAAAACATCAGCTGCGCTCCGTTAGTGAGATCTATTGTGAAACCGCAAATCATATCTAATGTTCCATCGATAAAATATGGCAAAGCTAATGAACAAACAGCATTGGCTCAGTTATCTCGACAGGAAAGTATTACAATTACTCGCTGCGGTCTATATATACATCATCATCATCATCATCATTACAGCCCTTCACAAGTCCACTGCTGAACATAGGCCTCACCCAAGTAATGCCACAAAGCACGGTCCTGAGCCACCTGCATCCATCGACTTCCTGCATGTCTTACCAGGTCGTCACTCCATCTAGTGGGGGGTCGCCCTACACTACGCCTACCGGTACGAGGCTGCCACTCGAGAACCTTTCTTCCCCATCGGTTATCGGTTCTTCGAGCTATATGGCCGGCCCATTGCCACTTCAGCTTACTAATCCGTTGGGCTATGTCGATCACTCTGGTTTCACTGCGGATATCCTCATTTCTGAGTCTATCACGCAGAGAAACTCCAAGCATAGCCCTCTCCATAGCTCGCTGAGCGACCTTAAGCGTCCTCATACGGCCAGCAGTGAAGGACCACGTCTCAGATCCGTAAGTCATCACTGGCAACACGCACTGGTTGTACAATCTAGTTTTTAGAGATTGAGGTATACCTGACGAAAAGATATGTCGTAATTTCCCGAACGCTGCCCAGCCGAGTTGAATCCGTCGATTGACCTCTCGGTCGAAGTTGGACTTACCTAGTCGGACTATTTGTCCCAGGTAAACGTACTCGTCAACAACTTCGAGCATAGTGCTCCCAACAACTACCGGCATAGGTGTGACATGGACATTAAACATGATCTTTGTTTTGTCCATGTTCATCTTAAGACCTATCCGTTGGGAGGCACTATTGAGGTCATTGAGCATAATGCTTAAGTCCTCCAGCGATTCTGCCATAATGACTATATCGTCGGCAAATCGAAGGTGAGTGATGTACTCGCCATTGATGTTAATACCGTATCCTTTCCAGTCCAGTAGCTTGAAAACGTCTTCCAACGCAGCGGTGAAGAGTTTCGGGGATATAACATCACCCTGTCTTACACCTCTCTGCAGTTGGATAGGTTTCGAACTCTGGTTCTGTACTCGGATAGCCATCGTAGCCCTACTGTACAAACACTTCAGCACTTCGATGTACCGACAGTCAACTTGGCACCGCTGAAGGGACTGTAGCACCGCCCAAATTTCGACGGAATCAAAGGCTTTCTCATAGTCCACATATGCCAGGCAAAGTGGCAGATTGTACTCTTCGGTCTTCTGTACAATCTGCCGCAGGGTATGTATGTGGTCTATGGTACTGAAGCCTTTTCGGAAACTGGCTTGTTCGGGAGGCTGGAAGTCGTCGAGTCTGCGTGCGAGACGATTCGTAATGACTCTCGAAAATAGCATGTAGACGCGGCTCAGAAGGGAAATCGGTCTGTAGTTCTTCAAGAGAGCGTTGTCACCTTTCTTAAAGAACAAAACCACCGCGCTTCTGCTCCACGCCTCCGGAGTAGTGCCACCATGGAGGACGGAATTGAAGAGCTTCCGAAGGACTTCAAGTACCGGTTTTCCACCCGCTTTCAGAAGCTCCGCTGTAATTCCATCCTCGCCCGGGGCCTTGCCGTTTTTAAGGTGGTGGAGAGCCATTCTAATCTCGCTCAGACTGACGTCCGGGATATCATCGGAATAGTGTCGGATAAGACTTGCTCTTGGATCGTTACTCACACTTACGTGTGGCTCCAACGATGATGTGTACAGCTGCCCATAGAACCTCTCAATCTCACTCAAAATCTCAGGTGTCCCGGAAACGATGTTGCCACACTCAGTCTTCAGCTTTGACAGTTGGCTCTTTCTGGCAGACAGATCTCTGGCAAAGACTTTGGAGCCCTGGTTCCGCTCGATCGCTTCTTTAATACGAGAAGTATTAAAGTTGCGTAAGTCTCGCCGCATGCATTTGGAGATCTGTTTGTTCAGTTGCCTGTATGCTGTCAAATCTGTTGACGATTGCAGCCTCATCTCCCGTCTAACAGCCATGAGATTAAGAGTGTGATCGGAGAGTTTTTGTGTTCTTCTGCGGCGGGTCTTGCAGAACTTAGCTCCGACCGCATGGACAGTTTCCACGAGCTTGTCGTTCATATCGTCCACTGCATTGCAATCTTCTAGGCACTGGAAGCGGTTACGTAACTCGAGCTGAAAGGTTTCGGGATTCTGGATTAGAGCACGAGGGGGGACGGAGCGTTGACTTCATTAGACGAGACCTCTCCAACTTAACGTTTAGGTTCAGTGTGCCTCTAACCATTCGGTGATCGCTGCCAGTTTTCACCCTTGCGATCACTGAGACATCACTGAACAGTTGGCGTCTGGTCGTCATAATGAAGTCAATCTCATTTTTTGTCGAACCGTCGGGGCTCGACCAGGTCCACTTCCTGTGGGGCCGCTTCTGGAAGAAAGAGTTCATCATAAAGAGTCCCTCTTTCTCCATAAAGTCGGCCAGCTGCTGGTCCCTTCGGTTCCGTTGCCCTACTCCAAATTTCCCTACCTTCAGCTCACCGCTTTCTCTTGTGCCTAGTTTTGCGTTGAAGTCTCCCATCAACACCGTGTAGTGGGTTTTGGAGGAATGTATGGCTCTGGAAATATCCTCATACATTTCCTCCACCTCCTCATCGGGATGTGCCGAGGTTGGTGCGTAAACCTGAATGACCTTCAGCGAATACCGTTTGGTGATTCTGAGTATCAGGTACGCGACCCTCGTCGACACACTCCCAATCTTTACAACGTTGTTGACGAGAGACTTGTGTACGATAAATCCGACACCTCCTTGGGACAGATGGTCGCCCTCCCGGTGATAGAACAAGTTGCCGGACTCGAGGATTGCCGTGTCCTCCCCCTCTCTTCGGACCTCGGATAATCCAATAATATGCCAGCGCAACTTGTCTACCTCTTCTTCCAGCTCTAGTATCTTCTCGTCAGTCCTCAGGGTGCGTGCGTTATATGTTGCCAGGTCGAGTCGTCGTAGGTGGCAACCGAACCTCCACCGGAGATTCTTAGCACCCCCTGCCCCGCCGTTACCATGGTCGCCACCGTAGCCAGGAATAGCGGGGCCGCCGGGGACTGGGGGCCGTCTGTTTGTGTATTTATTCATTGGGGGGTATTTGCCATAGTTGCCACGCTTGGCGAGCGGGTTGGCAACCGCAGTTTTTTATTACGTCACAGTTGTTATCAGGAAGATGCTGCTGCCCATCTCCTGCCTGTCTCCCTCTGTCGCCTTTTACGACACCCACGGGAAGATATGGGGTAGTGGATATTCTCAACCGCCACTACACGGCTTCTATATATACATAAAACACTACAATTTTTAGGGGCGAGTCCCGATGGTATTTATAAAAATAAAGAGGGGAAAACGGGACTAATAGAAATAAAATGTCCATTTTCCGCAAAAAATATGCAATCTGACGAAGCTGTTAAAGCGAAGAAAATAAAATTTTGGAAATACAATGCAAAACATAACACTTTTTCGGTTGACAAAAACCACGATTATTATTTTCAAATTCAGGGTCAGTTAAACATTACGGAGATGGATATGTGCTTATTTGCCATATGGACTGGAGAGGAGCATTCTATGAAAATAGAATATGTTAAGAGAGACCCTGCGTTCTGGCAGGACAAAATGGTAGGCCCATTGTCTAAATTTTACTTGAATTGTCTGCTTCCTGAGCTAATTGATTCTCGCATGGAACGCTCGATGCCAATCAAAGACCCTCCATACATCATTCAAGCCATTGCGAATAAATTAAAAAAAAGCGCTAAGTCGTCCGTCGATGCTGCTGTACAAGAATAGTAATTCATGCATATAGGTAAATGCTATACAAAGTTACATTACACTTTAATGAGAAACTATAAATATGTGTGATAGTGGACTGTTTGTACTTATATAGAAATTATTTTGAGTTTTTTTTTTAATCTATTTTAGTATTTAGAACTACTTGACGTACTTGACGGATTTTCGATAATGTCATCGACTTATTACGAAACCCTCAGTGCACGACTCATTCTAGCACTTGCCAGATTCATTTGAATAATCAATAATACGAGTACATGTTATACAGGTTCTAGATGATTATCTTTTAGAAACCTTTTCAACAAAACAACAAAAATTATACAAACTTAAAATATTTTTTTTTGTGTAACGAATTTTGTAATAAAAGCATGGAACAAAAATAGATACGAGGTAGAAAATCTGTATGTGAAAATTTGTTAGCTAATTATCAATAATCCTGTATATTAGATAAATTGATACTGGAAAATCTTAGTAGAGCAACTTTCCACGCTACGGCCAGAAAGATAACTGCGGTGGCGGTACATGAAGTGGCGGGGCAGGGAGGGTGTAGATGTGTCACCAGAACGCAATTTTTCTGTTTTGCTCTGAAAGACTGGGCTCTTAACCGCTACATTGAAAGACGTTTTCAAGCTATTGGACTGGAAAGGATACGGTATTAACATCAATGGCGAGTACCTTCGATTTGCCGACGCTATAGTCCTTATGGCAGCATCGCTGTAGGACCTAAGCACTATGCTCAATGACCTCAATAGTGTCTACCAACGGATAGGTCTTAAGATGAACATGGACAAAACAAAGATCATGTTTAATGTCCATGTCACACCTATGCTGGTAGTTGTTGGGAGCACTACGCTTGAAGTTGTTGACGAGTACGTTTACCTGGGACAAATAGTACGACTAGGTAAGTCCAACTTCGACCGAGAGGTCAATCGACGGATTCAACTCGGCTGGGCAGCGTTCGGGAAATTACGACACATCTTCTCGTCAGGTACATACATACAAACATACATAAACACGCCTGTCACCCAGAGGGGTAGGTAGAGATTACAGACTTCCATTTGTCACGATCCTGACACACCTCTCTCGCCTCCTTCACGTCCATATACCTACGCATACGTGCTCGTCGGTTAAGGGCCTTCTAATTTGGCCCGTTTTCAATAAATCGTTGATTTGGTCGATAAATTTTCTCCTAGGACGTCCCTTTCCGACTCTGCCATTCACTTCTGCAACATAAATTTTCTTTGTCACTCTTTCCTCATTCATTCTTTCCACATGACCAAACCACCGAAGCATTCCTTTCTTAATCCTGGTCACATCATCTTGCAAACCATAGTCTTCTCTTATCACACAATTTCTTACCCTGTCATTCTGATACAGCCCTAACATACATCCTTAACGACCGCATTTCTACTGCGTTTATTCTACTCTCGTGATTCTTGTGCCACACCGAACTTTCACTACCATACATTTAAGTAGGGAACAACACAGCATTGTGAATTGTCATACGTGCCTTTTTAACATTTTGACTCTTCACAATAGGGTGTAAGGCCCCATTTACTATATTTCCTGCGTTCACTCGTCGTTCTATATCCTTATCATATTTCCCATCCCTACTAAATACGCAACCCAAATATTAAACTCATCTACTTGCTCGATCAACTCCCCTTCTATTCTTATTCGCTACTTAGCGGTCAGCCGCCGTAGAGTCTACATCACCTGAAGATGCCTCGTGTAGAGGCGAAACACGTGTCGTATTATCGTCGATGGTGTGTCTTTCCTAGAATAGTGGTGTTGGGAGTAGTGGTGGGGGTATTAGTGGTGACGGGATTAGTGCACGCAATTGAGGGAGGTGCTCTCCAATCTAGGTAAGACACATCATTGTATTTAATTAAGCGGATGGTTGCAAATTAACTATTAATACTATCATTATATTTTTTGTTTTACAAATTTTTTTAAACGTCCTACACTAGGATTTTCTCCTGTATCGTGGGGGCAGTTTACAAATAGTGATGCGACGGAAGTGTCATAACGGAAGCAGAAACGGAAACAGATGTTAAAAATATTTTTTGCAGACACGGATGCGGAAACGGAAATACTATTAAAAAGTAAAAACATTAGAAATAAAACTTTTAATTAATATTCAAAATTATGTAGCGGTAGGTTATATTTTATAAAAAGTAGTTTGGCCGCTTTTACACCTAACAATCTGTTTCTGTGTTCTTCATATATAAGTCCAGCTCCGCTAAATAATTGCTCACTGGCGATGCTGCTGGCAGGAGCTGATAAATATTGGCGCACTAATGGCAAAAGATTATGATATTTGTGTGTATTTTATTTACACCACACAAGGGGATCCTCATGTAGAAACAATCGTTTTTCTTTTTTGTACTCCTAAAGTTGAGACTGTGTCTCCAAAACTTTGTCATTCTCGTTATTTGAAATTGAATCTTCCTGGTCTTCATTCTTGCTTAGCATGGATTCTAATATTTGTATTGATGAATTTATATTTGATGACGATGTAGGTTTAACTTCATTCGAGTGAATTTGAGTTTGGCACTTTTTGGGGGGAGGTATGCCGTCATCGCTAGTGGAACTATTGAACTCTGTGGTTCTGGTGATCGCCATGTTTAATATTTTAGACTCCACCTGCTCCGCAGTGATACTGGTGAAAAAGTTAGATTTATATCGCGGATCTAAATACGTCGCAATGGTGTATTTATAGTCTCCAAATCGCGCACTTGAGTTCAATTCATCGCGTAATCTTCTTGTGAAGTTCTGGAATTGTTCTGAAGTATCAGGTTTCGTCTCTTCTTGTTGTATTGTAGTCATAAGAACTTGAATCAAAGGTGATGAAATACTCACTTCAGAATTACTTAAGTTTCTCGTAATTTCTTCAAAAGGTTTCATTAATTGCACAAACGACGTTATATCCCCGAAACTCTTCACCGCTGCATTGGAAGACGTTTTAAAGCTACTGGACTGGAAAGGATACGGTATTAACATCAATGGCGAGTACATCACTCACCTTCGATTTGCCGACGATATAGTCCTTATGGCAGAATCGCTGGAGGACTTAAGCACTATGCTCAATGACCTCAATAGTGCCTCCCAACGGATAGGTCTTAAGATGAACATGGACAAAACAAAGATCATGTTTAATGTCCATGTCACACCTATGCCGGTAGTTGTTGGGAGCACTATGCTCGAAGTTGTTGACGAGTACGTTTACCTGGGACAAATAGTCCGACTAGGTAAGTCCAACTTCGACCGAGAGGTCAATCGACGGATTCAACTCGGCTGGGCAGCGTTCGGGAAATTACGACATATCTTCTCGTCAAGTATACCTCAATCTCTAAAAACTAGATTGTACAACCAGTGCGTGTTGCCAGTGATGACTTACGGATCTGAGACGTGGTCCTTCACTGCTGGCCGTATGAGGACGCTCAAGGTCGCTCAGAGAGCTATGGAGAGGGCTATGCTCGGAGTATCTCTGCATGATAGACTCAGAAATGAGGATATCCGCAGTAAAACCAGAGTGACCGACATAGCCCAACGGATTAGTAAGCTGAAGTGGCAATGGGCCGGCCATATAGCTCGAAGAACCGATAACCGATGGGGAAGAAAGGTTCTCAAGTGGCAGCCTCGTACAGGTAGTCGTAGTGTAAGACGACCCCCCACTAGATGGAGTGACGACCTGGTAAGATATGCAGGAAGTCGATGGATGCAGGTGGCTCAGGACCGTGCTTTGTGGCATTACTTGGGGGAGGCCTATGTTCAGCAGTGGACTTGTGAAGGGCTGTGATGATGATGATGATGATGAATTGCACAAATTTTAAAACATTCATCCAATCTTCTGGGGATATTATAGCGATTGGATTAGCACTTAGATGTAAGACAAGCGAATCTTTCAGTTTCGCAAACCGTTCCATCATATAGAATTTGCCAACTGAAAATAAATCAAATTTAATTATTAATTAATAGCTTTCCATTGGTAAATATTATTCCTTACAAAAATCACGAAGTTTTTTTTTTTGGTTAAAATAGTAATTGTGAGATAATGACTGATTATTTTAATATTTACCGTGTAGGGCAATCCTGAATGACGGATAATGCAGATTGATTTAGGCGTTCCTTTTGAATTTTTGTTAGCTCAGCTTGTGCAACCAGAGAATAGTTGAAATGTGTTACAATTTTTCTCAATTTAGTAGTAAGTTGTAAGAGCCATTCTTGAGATTCAACACTTGCTCGAATGCAAAGTTGGATCTGGTGTATAGCACAATTGACATCCTCAAAGCCTGACAATTGCATTGCTTTAACCATGTTAGATCCACGATCACGGACCATGCAATGCACTCTTTCAAGGTGTATGCCCCATTCTTCAAGAATAGTTTGAAATTTTGTTGATATTACGGTACCCGTGTGGCCTTCATACATGACTTCGCATTTCAAAATTATATTCTTTTTGTAAAAATCCTCGGTAATTCCATGTGCAGTCAAACTAAGCAATGAAATTCCAGAATGAAGATCAGACCATATGTCAGTTGTGAAAGATAACTTATCAAATTCTAAAAGTATAACTTTGGTTTTCTTAGCCAATCTATTGTACAAATTATCGCACACATACGATGAAAAATAATCACGACCTTTCAGTTTGTACCTCGGAAGAGCAGCGTTCATTAATCTGCGAAAGCCTGTACCTTCAACAAAATTGAATGGTAAGTTTTGGAGAGCAATCATTTCCGCAATCATACGATCAATTTGTTGAGATTTGGAATGTGATGAATCCCAATAATCATTAACTTGCAGACTTTGTTGTAGTGTTAATTGTTTTTTTGCAGTTTCAGCCGGTGTTGAATAAACCTACAACCACATAAAATATTACCTATACCAAAATTGGCACTGAAATATGGGCAGACCCTTTAAAAGGGCCTCATTTTATTTAGCGAGTAGGTAATTTAGTACAGCCCTAGCACGAAGGTACAACGTAAACGAACTTATAATCCGAAATACTCATCAAAGTGTCTTTAAAATCAATTAATATAAATTTAACGTAAAAATAATTAATATAAACTTCACGCAAACATAACTGCTGCCTAATTAATTCTACAAATCTAAGTTGTAACAAAGGCATTTAGTTTACATTTTATAAATAAATAGGTACGCAATTCCTTAAATGACCTTTTGTTTTTTAGTTTGCGATGAAAGTTTTACAGTTTCGTCTAACTTCTCAAACTCTGCAAACTCTTCGGCATGTATCGCTTTAAGATGGCTCTTTAAAGCGGTAGTTGTGCGGCCTTTTCGCGAGTATATTTGTCACATATTTTCATCTGGCTCCTAAATCGTCAATCTCAACGAAATAATTCCAAACAGGACTTGTTTTTGGCTTCATGATTGCACGTTAGTTACACACACGATTTAAATTACTAATAAACTAAAAGAAACAATAACAGAAAAGCTTACGCACTTAAACTCACGTCACGGCGTATAATGAATTTAAAATATGTAAACAAAAGCGTTGGGAAAAGTGCCGAAAGCATGGGCTCAGCTCTGTTGTGATTCGCTGAAACGCCCGCTCTTGTACGTGCTCAACTTTCAAACGATTCACGCGTACCTCGTCCACTGCGTCGCTGAGTTCCGTTAAAAACCATGCGGAACTTCCGCAATTGCGGAAACAGAAACGGAGTTCTGTTGCATCACTAATTTACAAACATAAATTGCACAAGGACAAACATCCAAACCCGGAACAATTATTTGTAGGCCATACAAATACTTGTTCCGTCCGGGATTCGAACCCGCGACCCCGAGCGCAGCCACTCATTGTTAAGCCACTACGCCACGGAGTCGTCAATTTATTTTACTTTTATTGTACTGCCTTGTTGGTCTAGTGGTTTTAGTAGCGTGATTGCTGATCATATAAGGTGCTGGGTTCGAATCCCGGGTCGGGCCACAAAATCAATTATTGAGTTTTCCTTCAAGAAATTCTCAGTAGCTGCCTGGAGTTAGGAAATTTCCGGTGTCCCACCGCAGCCTCGAAAAGCACGTAAAACCGTTGATACTGCGCCTGATCTCTCTCCAGTCGTGTCGGTTTACCGTCCCATCGGATTATGAGAGTGAGGAAATAGAGTGCCCCTATGCTTGGGGATACACTTGGGCAATATAATCCTGTCCTGCGTCGATGGCTAGTCTTCGTTAGTGCGGCCGCCGTGACCGGAATTCGGTTGGGAGGACACTACTTTTACTGTTTATGTGATAGCGCCATGCTGCAGCTATATTATGGTTGTAGTACGAATGGGTCGGCTCGTTCTGGGAGGAATCACACTCTCACAGAATACGAGCACAAAGTAGCAGCTCCATGCTGCTGTTTCGTACGATGAGTGTAGAGAACTTTTTGACCAGTAACGAGATATTCCATCTTAGTCCTCAGGGCTGGTAATGCTTCTGCATTTTGATTCTTAATCAAGGATAAATGTAGATGTTTATGGACTACAGCATCCATTTATCATAGTATAGTTGTAGCACAAATGGGTCGGCTGACCGGAGAAGGATCTTGCTCTCACAAGATACCAGCGTAAAATAGTAGCTTAATCTCTTTCATTTTCAAACGTGGCATTCCATAATAGTCCTCACGGGTGACAACACATCTGCATTTTGATTCTTAATCGAGGATATAGATGTTTATGGACTACAGCATCTATTACCATCAGGTGGATGGACTGTGTGCTCATTAATCACCCTTGTTCTATATTTAAAAAAAATGAGTATTTAATCTTATATTACTGTGCTCAGTGCACAATGTAATTGATACTGTGCCTACCAACATGGACTTTTGGAGACCAATGAAGAAGAAAATTGTGTAAAGGCAAGAGGCAAAAAAAATTAAGAAGAGGGATGACATCTAAACAGCTGTGCATTCAAGGTGATTGTCAGATCAGGCCATTTGTTGCAAATTGCAGACACAGTCCGCAGCAAAAAATAATTAATATATACTATATTATAATATTGTTATACGAGGGGTGATCCAAAAGTAATGATAATGAAAATAAAACACGGTAATTAAAGTTAAAATAATAATTTATTTTTCTACATAGTCTCCTAACAAATCAATACATTTAGTCCATCTTTTTTCTAAACCCAGGATTCCCTTTGAAAAACATTCTTTGTCTTGACCCTCCCAAAACTTTTCAACAGCGGCCATTACTTCGCCATCGTCTTCGAATTTCTTGCCTCGGAGGCGTTCCTTGGGCCGAGGAAAGAAGTAGAAGTCACTAGGAGCTAGATCTGGCAAATAGGGAGTGTTCGAGCAGTTCGAATCCCGTTTTTCGTCTTCTTATTTGGTCTGCGTAGTAAGAGCCCATAATAGTGGCTCCCTTTTCCAAATATTCCACCATAATTATGACTTGAGCGTCCCAAAAAACAGATGCCATAACCTTTCCCGCCGAACTTGAAACTTTGAATTTCTTTGGCGTCGGTGAGGAGGCTCGCTTCCAAGTCATCGATTGTTGTTTCGTTTCAGGATCAAAATGGTGGATCCAGGTCTCGTCCATAGTCACAAAACGGAACAAAAAATTTTCTTGATCTGCTTGGAACCTTTCGAGAATGACCCTCGAAATGTCAACTCGATTTTTGTTTTGCTCATCGGTTAACATTCTGGGCACAAAATGCGCAGAGACCTTTTTCATATGCAACTCGTTCGCAAGGATTCTTTGAATGCTGCGATATGAGATCCCTGTGACCTCAGCTACATGCCTGATGGTCACTCTTCGATCTGCCAACACAACATCTTCGACTTTTTTCACATTGTCTTCAGTGAGGGACGTGGATGGGTGTCCTTAGCAATGTTCATCTTCAGTGGATGTTCTGTCCAGTTTAAACTCCTTGGCCCAGCGTGCAACTGTAGAATATGGAGGAGCAGAGTCCCCCAATTTTCCACTAAGTCACTGTGTATGTCTTTAGAAGACATTTTTTTCAAACAGAGGTACTTGATGACAGCTCTAATTTCGTTTTTCTCCATGTTGATGTTATCTCTTTGATAGTTCATATTCAAATGAATGTATCTCCCGGAAATCGTGATCTATTTATATGATTTTTTAGGCTGACGTAGTGAGTATATAAGCAAGCAAAAAATATTTTTTTTGGATTTTTACGGGGACTTGAAGTAACCGATTATCATTACTTTTGGATCACCCCTTGTAGAGGCCCAAGAATACTCCATTACTAAATAATCCTTAAAATGGGAAAAATAATGAGAAGTTTTTTGCATATAATGTATTTTAAGTCAAAATTGGTCGAAATTTATTTATTTTGTTTATTAGTTTATTTTAGTTTACGACGGGCTGTTTTCCGCAACTCCACGTCTAAGCGCAGCAGGCAGGATTAATATGCTTATTTTGTTTATCAACATGCTTATGCTAATGGAATGAATATTATATTTTAAGTTTTTGCATACGAGTAGCATACAAAGTTTTTTTGAATAATATAGTTAGTGTCTAAAAAATGAAACTGCAAAGTTACAATACTTCTTTCATAAAATAATTGGTTCATGATTTAAAATCTTTGTGTTCATTGTGATACATTTAGTTTTTTATATAATTAATATACCAGGTCAGCCTCGCCTGGATAGGATAATTTAAGATAGCCGAAGACCATATTTTTTAAATCTTCAAGTTTTTAGAATAAACATAGCCTAGATTCCTCTTGGCATTGCTCTCTACCTGTTCATAAAGTTTAATCATAATTGGTTGGGCCATTCTAGTTCAGCCAGCCATCTAGTAGAGAACCAACCAACACTCTCCTTCCTGGTATGTGGTTATCACACTAGAACTTTTAATGCATCCTTGCAATTGTTTATAAATAAATGAATATGGAAATGTATGTTTGTCTACCTCAGTTTTGATTTATTTGAAGCTTTCCAAAGTGCATTAACAAAATTGGCAACAAGGATAGTAGTAGAAGAAAAAGAAGAAGGTATGTCATAAGCTAATAAATAAATTTTTGGTTGTTGCTTTAATAATTCAACACCAACTTCTATGTTAATTCAGGTGTATCAGTATTATCACTAATTTTATTCCAGAGGTAAAAATTTTCATATAAGTATCTAAGTTCTTCCATCCACACAACATCTCTTTCTATTGATGTAGGCTTACACTCATATACTGACAACATTCGGGTATTTCTTATTTCATCCACAAAAATATCACCTACAATATTCACATAATCACCTTCTATAAAGTTCAATAGATTATCTTTTTTCTTTATCATCAAATCTAACAAAGAAGACATACAATTAGTGTTATCATCATGGTATTGAGAGACTTTTGCAAAATCTTTCAAAAGATCTTTTATAGTGTTATTACATAAATTATTTTTACTTTTTGTAATATCGTAATAAGCCTGTACAGAAGCAGTAGCGTCGCTAATTTCTAAGTTTGTTGACG